GGGGGAGCTGGGGGGAGGCCTAGCTGCTGTGTGTGCCAAGTACACAGATGAGCCGTCCGTAAAGGTGGGAATTGGCACTAGAGTGAAACGCAAAGGATCTAAATTAGAAAATGATTTCAACACTTGTGAGAAGAGAAAATACAATGGGATCGGCAGGGAGTTAGAGATACAGCAGAAAGAAGCAAAATAAGATCCTGATTGAAAAAATGCAAATGAATGCCTGCAGGGAAAAGGGATTGCAAGCATGGATACAACACTTGGGAGCCCTGCTCGGTGTACAAGGCACGGCTCTGACATGAAGCTAGAGACAAAGTGGTTGGTGCAGGTCCCAGTGCACAGTGGTCCTGAGTAAATGCCCATGTTGTGGAATGGGGGTGACAGGGGCAGCTGTCCTCAATACCATGCAGCCTTGCATGGGCCTGCTAACTGCATTCACATCCAGAAGGGCGCTATCTGAGGTGGAACCAACCAAAGCAGAAGGGTGAGAAAGCGACTTTGGAAGCTGACCTCATATGGAGATCTGGAGAATTAGGCTGGGTTTAGAGGAAGTGGTCATGTCCGGAGTGGTGGTGGGTATCTGTCTGGAAAAGCAACTGAACACGTGGCCCTGGTAGCCAGCCTGGCCCTGAGCAAAATGACAGTGGCCACACTGAATTTCTTCTCCGCACTCTGTCCTTTACTTCTCTGTTGCATTATCATTCTGCTGTCCTGAAATCCTCTGCTCTGCTTTCAGAGTGCGCTCTCAAAAAGTTTTAATATGAGCCCTGGCTGGTGTTATTCAATGGTTAGAGCATCAGCCTGCACATGGAAGGGTTGTGGATTCACTCCCCACCCCCAGTCTGGGCCTGTGCAGGAGGCAACCAGTCAATGTCTCTCTCTCACATTGATGTTTCATGATTCTCTTTCTCTTTCTCTCTCTCTCTCTCTCCCCCCCCCCCCCATTCCCTCTCTCCCTCTTGCTTTCCCTCTCCGTCCCTCCCTTCCATTCTCTCTGAAAAGCAATCGGAAAAATATCCTCAGATGAGGATTAAAAAAAAGTTTTGATATGAATCCTGACAGCCAGAAATACATAACTTCCCTGATGTAGTGTTTCTGCCCAAAATGTATAACCTGAATCAAATTATGAGGACAGGTAAAAACAAAAACAAAAACAAAAAAAACCCTAAATGTGGGACATCCTATAAACTATGAGCCTGTGTTCGTTTTTCTTTAAAAAATCAATGCCATGAGAGCTAATGAAAGGCTGAAGAGTAGTCTCAGATTAGAGGAGACTAAAGAGACAAGAAAAATAAATGCAATGTGTGATCCTGAATTGGAAAAGCAAAAATTACTATCATAGGCAATATTAGGATTATTGGAAAAATTTGAAGATAATTTGAATATTATAAACTGTGTTGATAATAATATACATGAACGTTAAATATTATGAATTTTTGGTAATGGTACTGTGGTTGTATAAGAATATCCTTTTCCTTAAAAGATTTAGGGGAAAAGGGTCATGGCATCTGCAAATTACGCTCAAAAACAAAAATAATGAGCCCTGGCCAAGTGGCTCAGTAGGCTGGAGCATCATCCCATGCACCAAAAGGTTTCGGGCTCAACTCCCAGTCAGGACTCATACCTAGGTTGAAGGTCCCATCCCCGGTCAGGGCATGCACAGGAGGCAACTGATCGATGTTCCTCTCTCATATTGATGTTTCTCACTCTTTCTCTCTCTTCCTTCCTCTCTCTCTCAAATCAATAAAAACATATCCTCTGGTGAGGATTAAAAAAAAGAAAGAAGAATGAGTGTGCGTGTGTGTGCATGCGTATACTGCCTTAGAGCAGGAGGAGTTTGGGCATCACCACCTGTAATATCTGCAATGGTAATTCTGACTGTGCAGGAGAGTGAACATGAAAGCCAAAGAGAGGTCCGTGCATTCTTGAAATGTGTTTGCCTTTTAAATTCTCGTATAAGCTACAGTTCTTGCCATTTGCCTCTTTGTCCCAGGAATCAAAGGCAGTGTCTCCCTAACTAGAGAGGAATGTTATGGCCCGCGCTCCTGGTGGCTTCCCAATACTCCTCCACAGTGTGAGATTCACTGGTCCCTGGACGCTCACTGGGTTCAAACTGAGCTCCTTCCTCCACGCGCCTCTCCTTTTGCTAGCAGCTCCCTCAGGCCACCGGCTCATAGAGCTCCAACTCAATCCTCAACTTCTCCAATCGCTTTAATGCAATAAAGTGCTTAGTAAAGCTCCAAAGAGGAGCAGTTTAGGTGTCGCAGGCACGTTTATAATCAGGAGGAGGGAATTGCCAGAGCGGAGCCTTTGGCTGTGGGGCCAGAATAGAGCAGCACGAATTGAGGAAAGGCCCCTTTCTCCACGTGTATGTGGCATCAGCTAGGCCAATGGAGACCAGGAAAGAAAAATGCCCCCCCAAAGCTAATCGAATCTTAACAGCTATTGGGGCAAAAGCTGCATATCCATCTCCTCTCTGAGTCATCCATGTTCATGGGCACCAAAGAGGAGTCTAGCAACATGTGCTTTTCCCCATATGTATAACTAGTCAGCTAAATATAAGTTATCAACGCAAAGTATGCATTTCAAGGACATTAGGGGGATTCGTGGCAGTGCCTGGAGGGCTTTGGGCCTATAAAACGAAAAATGAATTACAAAGAAATACGAATACAGCATGTTCATCTGTGACCTTCATAATATTGTCACAATATGGAAGACACGGTGGTTTCTAGTAGGTGACCACGCTCACTGCAACTACAAAATGTGCATCACAAGCAGAGACTGGAGCGAGAAAGCAAAAAGCAATTAAAGTGGCGGCATCTCTAAAACATCACGCTTCAGAGCAAAGAGAATGTGGGGACTCTTCTGCTTCCAGCTACGCAGGGCTGTGTGCAACTCACAGTAAGGAAAGCTGCTGGTCTCCAGTTTGATGGGCAGGTCTTCCCCAGACCAGGGCGGTCTCCGAGGGGCCTCTAGTGAGACCACGGGATGGTCGGGGGAAAGGCAGGGTCTGAAAGGTTGGGTGAAACCACATGGTGCCGTAGAAGATCTGAAAAATGGCCCCCAAGTGCATTTTCCTTGGAGATTATTTCATAATAGACACCATCAGGTCTTTATACCTGCCCACTATGCTTTATCCTAAGGCATCATTCAAATAAACCATGACCCTGTAATTCTATAGATGTCTAACCAACCCCTTCCCATTTTTACCCAGTTGGTCCAAGATTTATAACTTGAGTTGGGGAACCTAACAGGCAGTTAATGGCAGATTTCTGAATACTTGACTCACTTGGGACGCAGGATCAGGCAGTGCTCTGGACTTATGTGCAGGGCTGTACCCCAAAAACCAGTAGTCTGTGGCTCCTGAGATCCAAAATAAATTCACACTCCAAGGCTGCACAGCCCCATGACCTAAAGTCTGTGCCACATTGCTAGCTCGTTTACACGTTATATTTAGAAAATTTCTTTTTTTTTTCACTTTTTTTAAATCCTCATCTGAGGATATTTTTCCATTGATTTTTAGAGAGTGTGGAAGAGAGAGGGAAAGACAGAGAGAAACACTGATGTGAGAGAAACACATGGATTGGTTGCCTCCTGCATGAGCCCTGACCAGGGTCCTGGACGGGGAGGAGCCTGCAACCAAGGTATGTGCCCTTGACCAGAATTGAACCAGGGATCCTCCGGCCGATGCTCTATCCACTGAGCCAAAGTGGCTAGGGCTAGAAAATTTCTAACCACATATACATAACTAGTTACTTACAAGGGATCTCTATGTATGTATCACTCAACATTCAACAACCATCAACATTTTACCTGCTGATCTCATCTACCTATTCCTCTCCTCCCCTTTTGACAGAGTATTTGAAAGCAAATCTCAAACATTATATCATTTTATCCCTAAATATTCAAAATGCATCTCAAAAATTAAGAACGTTTCTCTTATCATTAACATTTATAATTCTTTAGTAGTTCTAATATCCTGTCTACATTCAAAGTTCCTCGATACTCTATAAAAGTCTTTTCCTAAGTGCATTATTTGGACCAGGATCTAAACAAGGGCTACTCTATTATTTGTTGGTTATGTCTCTTAAATAGCTTTTACTTATGTCTCTTTTTTTACAAGAACAGTTTTCTGTCTCCTCCCACGCCCTCCCCTCTCCATTTCTGCCCACAGCATTCACATCCCATAAAGCAAAGTCAGTTGTTCTACAGAATGTCCTGCATTTGGCTAATTGCTACCTTGTGGTGCTATTGAACTTAAATCCCCCACATCACTTATGGAAGTTAAGCCTAAAGTCATGGTTGGGTTCAAGCTTTAACTGGGGGAGAGGGGGGCAAGAATACCTCATAGGTGGTACTGTGTCCTTACATCACATCAGAAAGTGTGGATGTCTGGTTGTCTAATTTTGCTGATGCTAATCTAGAGTGATTTAAAACATTTTCAGGCATCCAAAATGAAACCTATGAAACAAAGTATATTCAAAGAAGTCTTGCTTCCATTCTTGCTCCTCTACCTGGTTCATCTCTCCCCTTCAAGACAGCCAGTTTTGAGTTTTTCCCCCATGTTTTCTTTCTGCAAATATAATAAAATACATACATACCTATCTTACAGAAAAGATAGTATACAATACATTACATACTACATCCCATTTACCGTCTATACTACATATGTACATTTGACACCTTGCTTTTTTCACCACACAATATACCTGGATATCACGCCCTATCAGTGTGTGGAAATCTCAGTCATTTCATTTTCAGCTGCTGAAGGTTCCCTTTTGTGACTGTACCATGTTTTGTTCAATTAATCCCATAGTGATGGATAAGCTGGGTATTGTCAATCTTCTAATATAAAAAATGCTTAAATGAATCATCTTATGCATGTCATATATACTTGGTAAAGACTCCTAGAAGTGGGATTGATGCTCAAAAAAATACCACATTCATAAATTTGCAATCAAATTATGAAGTCTGATATTAATTTACATTGTTTATCTCATCAGAAAGAAGCCAACAAAATATACAATTGTGAAAATTTAGGTCTCAGAGAGATTCCTGGCACTCTACCAAACACAACAGAATTTTTGGAATTCAGTTTTAACTTCTTGCCTGCAATTCAGAGCACAACTTTCTGCAGACTCACAAATCTGATCTTTTTGGATTTAACCAGGTATGTATCTGAGTTCCCTACATGCACTGATGTTTTACTTAGGGAAAAGCACAACTTGCATTCCAAGTGCATCCAGGACCTTTGAGGGCACAGGGACCGTCAGCTTATCCTGTGTGTGTACCTCTCCCATGAAATAGTTTTATGCAGGTGCAATGTAATTAAACAAACAAACAAACAAACAAACAATGGAGTAGAAAGGAAATTGTCGAACTAGACTGGCTCAGTCATGCTGCTTAAGTTCTAAGGAATAATGATGATAAAACTGAAAACAAAGCTTACAAATATAGCAGATCAGTTTTAATATTTTTTCTTTCATCAGACTGTTGATTTTTACTATTTTCTTTAAATATGTGAAACTTGTTTGATATAAATATATTTATCATATGTTCTGATACTATATAATTCATTTTCTATATTCTTTATATATCATATATATTATCAAATACATGATAATTCTTATATCAGCTTTTTTAACCTAATTCCATAGATTTTTAAATTATTATTATTTTTTGCTGACTTTGGCTAATGTGTTTCCCTTATGTCTTTATTGAATTTTTATTTTGAGCTCATTTATCTTTTGGAAATATGTGTAAATCTTTGTTTAAAATGCTTTCCTGGAATTAAATAATACCAATGAATTGTTAATATTTCTATATGTGACAATGGCATTTTGGCTATTGAAAATAAGCCTCAATGTTTTTTGCAGATGCCTACTCAAATATGTATGGGATAGCTAAAATTTGCTTTAAAACAATTCAGGAGATAGAGTTGGGACTAGATGAAGCAGAGAGCATATGTGGCAAAATCTTGAGAATTACTGCATCTGTGTGATAGATGTATGAAGGTTTATTGTATTTTTCTCTTTGCTTTTATGTAAAGTTGAAAGTTTTCCTTATTAAAATGTAAGTACACCGATCTGGAAAAGTTTTCTATTTCCTTCTGCCAGTTACCTGAAGTTACTGCCATCCTGGAACAACTTCAAACTTTCAAACCCAATTTTCCACTTGGGTTTCTTTGGGGAGGTCTACAGAGGTGGCATAAACCATGCCACAATCCTCCTGAGTAGAAGCTTATGGTTAGGGGATCTCAGAGGAGAGTCTTTCCTTGTTATTGTTGTCCTTATTCCATTCAGAGCCAAGGCCAAGACAAACACATATCCCGAGGTCTCCCTCTGTGAGCTTCTTTTTTAATGTCACCCACTGAAGGATCCCTTTTGAGGGTCATGGTAATGAGCAGGTTTTGAGAGGACCTCCTAGCCTATCCCCAAGCTTTGTCTTCTGCCACTGACACATGTGGCTCGTTAAAAGCCAGGCTCTAGGCTACTAGGGACTTACAGATATTGGCAGATGTGGCAAAGCTAGCTCTAGGGCTCACTTGCTGCTATGGATTCAGGCTTCCTTTCCACAATTCATTTCTAAGGAATTCCCCTTGACCTTGAGGGTAGGTGTGTTGTATATGTGTGTGTACTGTCCAATATCATTAGGTTCAGTACCAGTAGGGGTGTCTTTTCAGCTCTAGTGTTGCATATTTCTATGGAGAAGAAATGCACTCACAACCATTCTACAAAGTAATCATTATTTCTATACTTTATAGATGAAAAAATAGAGGTTGAAAAAAGTTGTAACTTGACCAGGATGACACAGATTCCTATGTAAATATCATCACTATGCATCCTATATAACACACACGCGCGCACACACACATATATATCATATATATTATGCTTTATATGTAACATTTTCTATTACTTAAAATAGTAAATAATAGTTTGATATTTTTTTTTCAACAAGCAAACCACTAATTGTTCTCTAGGTTCCAAACACAAACTTCTTACAGTTTAACCTAAAGGGGCAAGATATTTAGGGGAGGGCGGGGAATCTAAATTAGTGTGTTTAGAATTGAGGCTAGTCATTAATTCAAGAGGCCACCTGTAGCTACTGAAGAATGTTTTTCATGTTTTACTTTGAATGACAATGTACACTGTTTTTACTATACACAAACCATGACTTTTTAAATGTAGCTCACGGTGACAGAATGTCTTCTGCTTTTTTCTAATTAGTTATTGTTAAATACTATTACCTTTACAAGGTGCCAGATCAATTGGATACATGAAGACACTTTTCAAAGCCATCACCAATTGGACACCCTTGTGCTGACTGGAAATCCCCTGATATTCATGGCCGAAACATCCCTCCTTGGGCCCAGGGCACTGAAGCACCTTTTCTTAATCCAAACGGGGATATCCAATCTCGAGTTTATCCCAGTGCACAATCTGGAAAACTTGGAAAGTTTGTATCTTGGAAGCAACCATATTTCCTCCATGAAGTTCCCAGGAAACTTCCCAACACAGAATCTGAAGGTTCTGGATTTTCAGAATAATGCTCTCCACTTCCTCTCTCGTGAAGACCTGAACACTCTGGGGGCCACCAACCTCAGCCTCAACCTTGATAGCAATGACATTAAAGGCATGGAGCCTGGGGCTTTCCATGCAAAAGTCTTCCAAAGTCTGCGATTCGGAGGGATGCTTGACGTGTCTGTCATATTGAAAGGTCTACAGAACTCTACTACTCGGTCTCTCTGGCTGGGGACATACGAGGACACTGAGAGCCAGGACCTGACTCCAGCCATGCTCGAGGGACTCTGTGAAATGTCTGTGGAGAGCATCAGCCTGCGCAAGTACCATTTCTCTGACTTGTCAGCTACCACATTTCAGTGCTTCACGCCCCTCCGGGAATTGGACCTGACGGCAACTCACTTGAGAGAGTTACCCTCTGGGATTCAGGGTATGAACTCGCTCAGGAAATTAGTTCTCAATGTAAATCATTTTGAGCAATTGTGTCAAATCAATGCTGCCAGTTTCCCGGCCCTCACAGACCTCTCTATCAAAGGCAACCTGGGGGTACTTGACCTCGGTGCTGGGTGTTTGGAAAAACTAGCAAATCTCCAGAGACTTGATTTAAGCCACAATGGCATAAAGGCTTCTGACTGCTGCAATCTGCCGCTCAAAAGCCTGCACCACTTGCAGTACCTAAACCTGAGCTACGCTGTGTCCATTGGTCTCCGGCGTCAGGCATTCCAAGAGAGTCCTAAGCTGGAAGTCCTGGATTTGGCATTTACTCACCTGACTGTTATGGCGTCACAAAGTCCTTTCCAAAACCTCCCTCTCCTGCAGGTCCTGAATCTCTCCCACTGCCTCCTCGACGCCAGCAATCAGCACCTGCTGGAAGGCCTGGAGGGTCTCCGGCACCTGAATTTACAGGGAAATAGATTTCAAGATGGGAGACTCTCCAAGACCAACCTTCTTCAGACAGTAGCCGGCTTGGAGGTGCTGATTTTATCCTCCTGTGAGCTCCTCTCTATAGAACAGCAGGCCTTCCACAGCCTTGGGAATGTGACTCGCATAGACTTAAGCCACAACAGCCTGACAGAAAACAGCATCGATGCTCTTGGCTACCTGAAGGGGCTCTACCTCAACCTGGCCACCAACAGCATTCAAATCATCCCACCCCGTCTCCTCCCCATCTTGTCCCAGCAGAGCACCATTAATTTAAGTCACAACCCTCTGGACTGCACTTGCTCAAATGTTCGTTTCATAACCTGGTACAGAGAAAACCTGCACAAACTCGAGGACGTGGAGGAGACAGTGTGTGCGAACCCCCCATCTTTAAGGGGAGTCAAGCTGTCTGAGGTCGAGCTGTCCTGTGGGATTACGGCCGTGGGCATTTTTTTTCTCGTGGTATTTTTATTCTTGTTCACCATCCTGCTCATTTTTGCAGTTAAATTCCTTCTTAGGTGGAAATACCAGCACATTTAGTGCTGAAGATGTCTAGAGATGGCAAATAAATGTGTTTGGCCGAATTGCCCCAAATAGAGAGACTGTTGTCTGTTAGGGGCCAGATTTGACAGATTGGTCCCTGGCGCCGGGCAGGGATTTTCTGTGTTTTTCTGAGTCCCGGGACTAATGTCACTCCCCCTGGAAAGTAAATGAGGGACAGATGCAGCTGTGAGAAACACCCAGCCATCTCCTCACATGGAAGTGGGTGGAAGTAGAGGGAGGACCTGTGGCAGGGCAAGGCCCAGGCAGTCACCCACTAGGGGGGCACCTCCCTCCCACTCCTGAACACCCTTCGGAGCACCTCCCACCTTGACCCTAAAGGGAGACCACCAACGCCCACAACCTGGCAGCTCTGAGGACCCCAGCTCCCAACTCTCTCTTGCACCGTTGGGGCACTGTGCTTGGGTCTGAGTTCCCAGTAATGTAGCTGTTTGGGGAACTTGTTGTGGATAAAGTCTTAATGTTCATTTTAAATGAAAAAGAGGAAACAATGAATTTAGAAGAAGAGGCTGAGAACTGAACCTTACCATCAAATGGACTCCATTAATCTCCCTAATCCTTAGGTGTCTGCAGTCTCTACAAATGCCACTAGGATGCAAATAGCTACAGAAAAAAAAATGACATCCTCCCCCGGCTCCTCCCTTCCCCAGGGTTTAGGGTTTTTGCTACATTGGCCAGCTCACCTGCAAGCAAGCCCCTGCAGCCAACCAGGTGCCTCACTGTTTGGTTACAGAGCCCAACTCCCAGGTGGGCTGTGGTGCAAGTACACTTCTCATGTGGAGGCCAGTCCTTCAAAGAGTCTTTCCCACAGGAATCGTGAGATAAATGGTGGTTTGCCTTCCAGGCCAGCTCTCAAATGCCGATTCACCTGGGACAGCAATTGAGATAACACATTTACAATGAAGACCAGTGGGAGAAAGCAGCTCCGTATGCCAGCTGTCTGTCAAGAGCACAATAAGCTGGCTCAGTGAGTAGTTTCTGTTGAGGCTGGGGTGTCAGTAAAGATAGTACCAGCGACACAGAGGGGACAGGACCACTGAATATGATAGAGAAAGAGGACATGGAAGCTCCAGTGTGATGACCTGGGCCTCCCCAAGGCCCAAAGAGTCACCCTCCTTCAGGGCTCGCTCTCTGAAGTCTGCATGGATGGACAGGGTAGCCCTTGTACTCCGGTGCTGCATTTACAGGACCTTGATTAAGTTCTATAACCAGTTGTAGGCTTGCAATGGTAACTTATAGTTATGAAATTCTGATTGGATATCAAAGGAAAATTTGAGTGATATCTAATCTGAATTGTTTGGCCCTTAGGCTGAGGGCATAGTAGTGAGACACAATAACAGAGTAGAAACTTGGGAACTAACTCCTTTTCACTTGTATATGCCCAGAAACAGCAGGAAAGACAAGGGAATAGTGAAGTGAAGTCACAAATCTTCACTGAAAAACCTCAGTAGTCTTAGGGGGTATTTTGTACTAGAGAGGAGGCCAAGTTTTCCCACTGGTTCCTGGTTAGGGACACAAGGCAGGAGCTAGGGTAAGGTGAGTGAGGCCTTTGCCTTGGGTGCAAAATTTAAGGGAGGACCAAGTTATTTACCATGAATAGCCAGGATCTGGAAACAGCCCAACTGCCCATTAGTAGATGAGCTGATAAAATGCTGTAGAACATTTATACCCTGGAATACCACGTGGCTGTAAAAAAAGAAGGATCTCTTACCTTTTGCAACAGCCTGGATGGACCTAGGGATTATTATGCTAAGTGGAATAAGCCAGTCAGAGAAAGACAAGTACCATATGATCTCGCTCATTTGTGCAATCTAATGAATAAAATAAACTGATGAACAAAATAAAAACAGAGTCATGGATACGTGGAACAGACTGATGCTGTCAGAGGGGACAGGGAGAGGAGGACTAGATGAAGGAAGGTGAAGGGATTAGCCAAACAACATATATGTATAACCCACAGGCACAGACAACAGTGTAGTGACAGCCAGAGGGAAGGGGGCTAGGGGCTGGGTGGAACAGGCAAAGGGGCAAAAATAGAGACATCTAATAAAGGGAAAAAAAAATAAGGGAGAACCAAAAAACTCAGTGATCAAGACAAAAAAAATTAGTACAATATTTTAAACACTTTAATGCAAAAATAATTGATGGTAAAACATTAAAATTTTAAACAAGCCCTGGCCGGGTAACTCAGTTGGTTAGAGCTTTGTCCCGATGTGCCAAGTTGCAGGTTCAGTCCCCAGTCAGGGCACACAAAAGAATCAACCAGCCCTAACCAGTTTGGCTTAGTGGATAGAGCATCTGTCTGCAGACTGAAGGGTCCCAGGTTCAAATCCGGTCAAGGGCATGTACCTTGGTTGCAGGCACATCCCCAGTAGGGGTTGTGCAGGAGGCAGCTGATTGATGTTTCTCTCTCATCGATGTTTCTAACTCTCTATCCCTCTCCCTTCTTCTCTGCAAAAATAAATAAAATATAAAAAAAGAAGAAAAAGAATCAACCAATGAATGCATAAATAAGTGGAATAATGAATCAATGTCTCTCTCCCTCCCTCTCTCTAAAAAAATCAAGAAATAAAAATTAAAAAAAACTAAATAAAGACAGGATCCATAACAGTGCCATGATGAACCATGAAAAGAAAAGGAAAAAATTAGTAATACCAGTCTTGCCTTTGTTTCAAATGTTGATGTTTTGTTCACTGTGGATACTTTGCATTAGTTTTTATTTCTTTAATGTTGCATTAAAACATTATTTATCCTCATTACTGAGTTTTTGGTGCCCCCCTTAAATTTTGTGCCCAAGGTGGGTGCCTCACTCACCTCCCCACTCCTGCCTGAGGATTGGTGAGAAGTGGGATTCCCTTCGAACTCCAGGCTGCAGTTTCCTGAGGGCCTAGCTGGCACACTCTCTCAGGATGCATCTCCTTCCCCTTACATCCTGGAAGCAGAGAGAAGTGTTCAAGATCTCCCATCGTGTTCCTCCATCTTTAGTTAACTTCCATTAACTCCTGAGTTCAAAGGCATCTCTCCATCAAAGCCAAGACAGGTGCAGAGACAAATGGGTACCAAACCCTCTGAGCCCCAGGTGCCTGGGGAGATGCCAGGAGGGTGGGCAAGCACAGCATACTCTGCCAATGTATTGAATCATCACACAATTAACTGCTTTAATGATCTTGAATATCAGCATTTGGGAGAACAGGTGTCTAAGAGGGGAGGTTTCCTCAGCTTCCCCAGGAAGCATTTGAGAGGCAATTATTTAAGGACGGGTGTCAAAGGAGAATGTGCCTGAAGATATGAGGACATTGAGACACACGCCTGAGCCGTCTTTATTTCTTCAGGGGCCTAGGATGGTGGGGCATCCTTCTGAGAGGGCCAATCAGAGCCACATCCGGGTTGGTATGAGTCTGAAGTCTGGCAGCCCCTGAAGCAGGTTGTCCTTGAGTTTCAGGCTCAGAGGGACCTAATGTGGAAGTGGGCATGGCTGCCTCTGCCAGGCTCTAGGTGTGCAGAGCAGGGGCTCCTCCAGGCAGCTGCCCAGCTGCTGCCACAGGGAAGGTCTCTTCTTCTGGGCCCTGGGGCAGCACTGGTTTAGAAAGCTCAGGCCTCTCACTCTCCAAAGTGGGAGAGAGCCTCCTGATAGGCACAACACCCGGCTGCCACTCTCCTGCAGGACACATTCACCTTGGCATATCTAGGCAGGAATGTGGTACAACTCATAGCTGTTTCGTTGTGTTATGTTCATTTGTTTGTAAGATGAGGAGCTCTGGAAACTGGGAAATATTTCTGGTGGTGACCATGAAGATGCAAACGGTACGCTCACTGGCAGCTCCCTCCCTCTCTTTTCTTTGTTTTTCTTTCCTTGATGTCACTTCCCCTCCTTCCTTCCTTTTTTCCTTCTCTCCCGCTGTGCTTCCTTACTTTGTTATTTCCTTTCTTTCCATCAGAGAGTACAGAAGTCCACACACTAGGAATCCAGGCTAAGGTTGCACCAACCCACTGCATCCCCTGTGTATTCCAGCAAATGTAAGCTCTTTCCTGCCTCAAGGCTATAAGCAGCAGCCAGGAAATACTCTTGGCTAACCTGCCACCCCATAGCCCACCGTCACACATGATATGTAATGAGTAACTTGGGAAAACCAAAGCATCCTTAGACTATCTTTAATGTGAATTGCATCACCTTAAAGCTTAGAGCAGCGGTTCTCAACCTGTGGGTCGCGACCCCTCTGGGGGGTCGAACGACCCTTTCACAGGGGTCGCCTAAGACCATCAGAAAACACATATATAATTACATATTGTTTTGTGATTAATCACTATGCTTTAATGGTTCAATTTGTAACAATGAAATTGGGGGTCACCACAACATGAGGCGCTGTATTAAAGGGTCACAGCATTAGGAAGGTTGAGAACCACTGGACTAGAGGGTCCCAAGCCCTAGCAAACACACCTGCCCATCTTGCTTGCATTCACCAGGCCCTCGCCCCTCCATGTGGTGTAACTTGCTGCTCCATCACTGCACACTGATCTGAGGCTCCGTGACACTCTGTTTTAAGCAACAGTAAATTCACCTGACAAAGTCAGGAAGGGAGCTTTTTGATGGCTGCAGTCAGTTTTATTGCTTTATCCTGGTTACTGGATAGAATCTGTAGACACGGCGTGTTTATTGGTTTTATGTATCGCGTGTTGTTGCTGCTCTGACAAGGCAGTCCTATAAAAATGTGTTATTATTGCATGTTGTAGCTCAGTGAGCTGACCCTGCATTTCAAAGTGTGCTGAAGCAAATAGCATTGAAGTCCATAAAAACTGACTGGCCTCCATCACAGAGGACCCTGCGTGGGCTGCGACTCCCACAATCTGGGCACAAATTTCCCCCCTGCCAAGCTGGCAGCCATCGCTGCTACCTGGACACAGCGCCGACCCAACACAGGCATGACCTGTGAAACTTCAACACAGGAAATGGTCACATCATTCCTTCTGGTTCAATTCTCCCATAAGTGCTGTTTCCAATTTTCAAGTTTACAAAAGTATGTCAGAAATGGCTTTTTAATGTTTTATATATATTAGTATACGATGCAGGAGGGGTAGCTGATGCTGTTTTCTATCTGCTCTGAATGCTGAAGGGAATATTAACTTGAATTACATCAAGAGAAGATGTGATTAGTTCTAAGCGAGACATGGCTGGGGGTGCTGGATGTCAACTGGAAACAAGTGCCTGATGAGTTCAGAGTTAGACTGTCTAACTCAGCGATGGCGAACCTTTTGAGCTCAGTGTGTCAGCATTTTGAAAAACCCTAACTTAACTCTGGTGCCGTGTCACATATAGAAATTTTTTGATATTTGCAACCATAGTAAAACAAAGATGTATATTTTTGATATTTATTTTATATATTTAAATGCCATTTAACAAAGAAAAATCAACCCCAAAAAATGAGTTCGCGTGTCACCTCTGACACGCGTGTCATAGGTTCGCCATCACTGGGAAGGCTGCAGGGGAATGGACCAAACAGTGGGGCTCCCAGATAATGATTTATCACCAGAATCACCTGGCCGGTCCTTTACAAAACAGATTCCCATGCCCCACCCTAGATTTTGGGATTCCGTTAGACTGGGGTTGGCCTGGGACTCTCAGCCTAATGATTTCATGTAATATCTTTCCCTAATCTGAATTTGATCCAAAAAAAAAGCAGAAGCATGTGTTAGGCTTACCTGAGTCAAAAGAGCTGAAGAAGATCCACATTCTCTAAGAGGAAATGTCCTAACAAAAGGGAAAAGAGGACTGAGGAGCCTTGGAACCCAAAGGTGAGACCTGCTGGGCCGGTAGTTTGCTCACCTCCTGGGCCTCACTGCCAGGCCACAGGCTCTGCTCCTGAACTGGCCTGCTCTGCCACACACACTTCCCCCTTCGGCCCAGCTCATCACAATTGTAAATAATATATTAAATACTGTGGGTCTTGAAAAAGGGAAGAACTCATGTACAGATTATTTTCAAAAGCCATCATTTCCCATTTGAGATTACATAGTGAACTTCATTGAATATCTCTTGTGATTCCCCCGTTCTCTAGGTAATATTCCTTAAGTACTTGACTGTTCAAGACATCCTACAAAGGTGAGCAGAGGGCAGGGGCTGCTGGAGCATCCATCCGTCTTTTCCTTTTCCCTTCACGTTGGTTCATGGGCTTTCTAAGCAGCTTGGGTCTCCCTTTTCCTCTTTCTCTTGTCCTTGGGAACAACCTGATATCCAACAATAGATCAATGGTTAGATAATAGGGGATACTCTGAACAAATGGGGAGACATTCCATGTTCTTAGGTGGGATAACATTATAAACATGTTGATTCTACTAGAAAATAGGGAAATATAAGTTAAAATGAGATAAAGTTTTGTATCTATTATCCTGGCAAAAAGAGAAAGCTGGGGAATAGTGCGGGGGTGGTGGGGGGTATAGGAACTGCATGCACTGCTTCTGGGTACAGACTGGAGCAGCCACTAAGACCACGTAGCAATAATTAGTCAAATTAAATTCATGATCCACAAATTCTGTTGAGGGCATATACCCAAGAAAGTTCCACATTTCCAGTATGCTATTCAGTGCAGCACTATTTATGGAGAGGGGAATTCCAACTTGAGTGTTCATCACTAGGAAAATGGACAGGTAGAATGTGGAAGACACCCTCCATGGGGTATAAGAGTAGTTAGTAGCAATGGGTTCAGTATGGCTATAGCAGCGTAACGGAATCTTAAACACACAGTGTTGGGGGAAGTCATTGAGGGGATGTGACCGC